CGCCGGGGGCGCGGGGCAACGGGGGCGGTTCCGCCCGGGCTCCCGCTGCTTATCGCGCTTTGGGGCCGCTCCCTTCGGAAAAGGCGTTGCGAGCACCGATCGGCATCGGGAAGCGGTGACGAGTCGAGTAGGAAATGGGTGTTTAATGAGGGAAAAAGCGCTGCATGACAAGGAGCGGGGAGTTCCCGCCTCTCGGCGCCGCACCGCTGGCTCCAGCACAGCTGGGAAATGTCCGAACTGCTGGAAAATAACTTTCCCTCCTGGTTTTCACAGAGAAATGAGAACTCTCCACTAGTGTGCGGCTCTCCCGGGGCCGGACAGCTGGTTTCACTTAGATTTGTGTGTGATCAGCCTTCCCGGCATCTTCCTGCTATTTTATCACATGTCAGCGAGTTAGTTTTACCGTATAAGGACTGCGGGCTGCTTCTGGGAGAGGTGGAGCCAGACTAACTCCACTTTCCCAGTGGCCCCGTCTCCATAGTTTTGGAATCTCACTTAATTAAAATGTGACTTAAAAGTGTCCTGTCTAGTGGCAGGAGCTGCAGGCTGCCACATAACAGATGCCAATTTTTATACATGATCGATACCTTGTGTGTCAATCGAGAGAGTTAAACACCCAGCACTGGGCAGAAAGCAAATGAAATGCTGGATAATTTATGACTAGAGGAATCCTGGGTCAGCTTCCATTTGGATCAGTCACTGAAATCCTTTCCAAGATGGTACAGTTCTGAATGGTAACCACTTCCTCCAGCTTAGGACGAGCGGTCAGTGACCAAACTTGCAAAGCTGCAATAAAACAAATATTTTTTTCAAAGTGTTTAACATCAAGCATAAAGCAAATGCCCTTCCAGGATCTGTAACCCATAAAAAGTTGGGGTTTTTAATCTCATAGATAGCAATCACGCTGAGATTTGGGGACAATTAAGTGCACAAAGGTGGCAGTTATAAGAGCAGGGCTTTGTTGTCCTTCAAATAACAAGCAATTAAAGAAGCCATATCTTAATAAACACAATTTACTGACACCAGTTTGTTCATGTTGTCTGTACACGAGCTTTTCTCCCGGCAGCCTCTCCATTTATTACTGATTCTATTTTTTCAACATTAATAGTTTCCACTTACTGTGCAGTTTATTCAATAACATATAAACAGACCTTATTATTAAGAAATGCTTTCTGCCTAATTCCTGAAGTACCACAGGAAGCAATGAAAAAAAGGAAAGTGAACTTATTTTAAGAACATACCTAATTTTGCTGGTTTTGTTACAAAAAAGACTTGAGTTTCCCATGCTGAGGCCAACTGCATCTGCCCAGCTGACCACGCAAAGATTATAGAGCGTTTGCAGGCTCGGGAGCCTGTGGTGGATAATGAAATGGCTTTAACTCCAGCAGTGAGCTGGGACAGGATATTGCAGCAATCTGTGATGAAACCAAGAACAAGAGACATCAACTGTGAAGTTTCTTGGAACAAGCCATTACGGAAACAGTTTGGGTTTTAACTATGGGTTGCTCCAGCCCTGTAGAGTGATCTGAAAATACTTCTGCATTGGCAGTCAGGGCTGAATCCTTTGTTGCATGGCAGGAATGATAAGTACCATTAAAAAAGAACCATACCTTGAAATTCCTGAGATGCCATAGTTTAAACAAACAAAAAAGCAGAGGCACAGGGTTCCTAGAGCTTCCCTGCCTATCCCAGGGAGAAGCCTTTGCAGTTTTAAGGAAACTAATTAGTAGAGAACATCTGTCAGCCAGCGAGTGGCTTGTACAGAACCTGAATTCTGGGGGGTTGTGTTTCGCACAGGCTGAAGGGGAGGTGGCAGCTCTGAACAGACGTATCCAGCTAGTGGAAGAGGAGTTGGATCGTGCCCAAGAACGGTTGGCCACAGCCTTGCAGAAACTGGAAGAGGCTGAGAAAGCAGCGGATGAGAGTGAGAGGTATGTTTCCTCTTTTTTAAAATTTTTTAAAAAGGAATTTACATGAATAAAATGTTCCTGTATAATTTCATACACGTGCTGATGTGCACGGCAGGTCAGAGACTCAGAACTTTTTAATAAGCCTGAATTCTGTTAACCTTGAGTATGGTCATAACAGGCCACTTCTTGGGTACAAAGACTGAACTGTGCCTTAGGACTTTTGAGATAAAAGTGCTAAAATGCTTCGGCATTAAACACTTGCTTTGACTTCTGCAGAGGAATGAAGGTTATTGAGAACAGAGCAATGAAAGATGAAGAGAAAATGGAGATCCAGGAAATGCAACTGAAGGAGGCGAAGCACATTGCTGAGGAAGCCGACCGCAAATACGAAGAGGTACAAGGGATAAGGAAATGGTTAAACACACGGGAGAACCGTGACAGCTTGGTTACCCTCCACTTGAGTCATTCTCACACTCCACTGTGTGATGGCTCGACTTTGGAACACCAAAAAGGTGTAATTTTAACAGTGACTTTGCAGCATCTTAGATATTTAATGCTACAAACATTGCAAAATGTAACTTATTTGTGGAAAAAGCCTGTCACGTCTGTACGTGCGTGTGTTCATCCTTTCATCACTCAGGAGGAAAGCACGAGCGTGGTGCTTTGAGAGCAGCGTGTAAGAAGTTACCAGCTGGCCTGGTAACAGCTATTTCTCTTTACAGGTTGCCCGTAAACTGGTTATTTTGGAGGGTGAACTGGAAAGAGCTGAAGAGCGCGCAGAGGTGTCTGAAGTGTGAGTACCTTCAGCCACACAGGAGCCGTTTAGGATGCCGTAGAGCTCAAAGCTGTATTCCATTAGAAAAATCAACCACTGGTGGGCAGGCATGGAGGAGATGTAGAAAGGCTTTTTTGTACCCTGTCCACCCCATTTTCTCCTTTCAGATTTAATGATTAGAATCACTTCATCCCTTGTCTTTTTAGACTTCTTGAAAATTCAATTAAGTCACGACGGGGTCAGTAGTAATTGATACCTTTTTTTTCTTTGCCTATAGTAAATGTAGCGACCTCGAGGAGGAGTTAAAGAACGTCACTAACAACCTGAAATCTCTGGAAGCTCAATCTGAAAAGGTTGGTTCTTTCCTGAAACTGAGGGGTAGGGGCAAAGTCAAAACTTGTAATTAAAATCCATAGAAATAATCCAGAAATACAAAGACAGTGACAGGGTTTAGCCACCTGCCTGTTCAGCAGAGACTGCTGGTGACGCTCTTTTTGTGCTGCACAAGCAGGTGAGCCCGGTGAGGTGTAAGGTGACACATGAAGGAGCTTGGACATCCTCAGTCTTAAGATGGTGGTTTATGAATTTGACTCTGAAATGTCTTGGTAAAGAGAAGAAAAGCGTCGAAAGGGTGTTTGCAGCTGTTGTAAAAGGACAAGTGGTTATAAATAGGTCACGGTTTGATAAACATGTATTATTGTTGCTACAGCTTCCCTTAAAGAGTGTTTATTTTCACAGTACTCAGAAAAAGAAGATAAATATGAAGAAGAAATCAAAATTCTCTCTGACAAGCTCAAAGAAGTAAGTTGATCCATCCCCAAACTGTATTTTGGCATCATTCTTTTAACAGCATCCAGTTACTCTTATTTCATTTGTTTTAGGCTGAAACTCGTGCTGAATTTGCAGAGAGAACAGTTGCCAAACTGGAAAAATCTATTGATGACCTGGAAGGTACGAAATTACTTGAGTTTCATTTAAAAGTGGTCAATTTCAAATCAGAAAATAACATCCTAGGAGTGCGTGTGAGAGATTACTGGGGAGGACAGAAGTGCTCCTCAGGTGCGTTGGTAGATGGGTGTGATGTGCCCCCTGGATGTGTCTGTCCTCGTGGCACCTCCTGGCTGGAGGAAGTTCCTGAAGGAGGTTCCCTTCCAAAAAATGTGGTAAAAATAACCTGATTTTGGCCAACTCGCAGAACTCAAGGGCTTTTTCTATTAGTAACAAACCATAACCCTACTTAATCTGATTCCTGAAAAATAATATTGAGAGATTAAAAAACCACAATGGAGCCGGGAAGTTTGTGACCTGGCAGCTGTGTGGATTTTTTGCGTTCATGCCGATAGTTACACATCTGATTTCTTCTTTTGTTTTCCTCCCCAACTGCTTTGGCTGCTGCCCTCTGACTGTCCTCTGCTCTGCGCCTCTTCCTCTGGACTGTTTTTCTGCATTTCTTGCTGAAACGTGTCTTCTGCCCTCGCGACCCGTAGACGAGCTCTACGCTCAGAAGCTGAAGTACAAAGCGATCAGTGAGGAGCTTGACCATGCTCTCAATGACATGACGTCTCTGTGACCCGCGCTGCGGTACGGGGGCCGCGCTGACTCGCTGCGTTTCTTAAGCTTTTCTTGCCTGTAATTCCTGTCACTTCTGTGCAACTTCCACAAGCGACCCTTCCCTCTCCCCTGGAAGAACCGAGCTCAATAAAAACAAGATACCTTTCAGCTTTGGGGCTTTATTTCCTTATAACTCACCTGAAATACACCAGGAATGACACCGAAACTCAGTTCAGCTCCTCACGCCAGGGACAGGTGGATACAGTCAGCACAGGTGCCCCTGTCAGCCAGGCAGGACGCAGAGCACTGGGTCAATTTGAGCAAAAAATTGATTCAGACGCCTCAATCGAGGTGTTCCCAGGCAAATTTTTTATTTTTCCTCTAAAATTAATTTTTTTTGAGCAAAAATTGAGGCAAACGCTTCTGTTTTAAGTGTTCCAAGGACACGTGAGGCAGCGAAAAGCTTTGAGTGTGTTTGGCGTGTGGTGGTGGTGCTCTGTCTGCCTGGTTAAAAACCTCTCGGGACAAGGAATGTTCTGAAGGGCGGGAGCTGTAAATCACCTTAAATCAGAACAGAAATGTGTCACATGACACGAGATGTGTCCACAAACCTCACTGAATGAGAGCAGTTACCAAAACCACGGCCCCGGTTTGTGGATGCAGCGACAGTGTTGTCTGGAGTGTGCAGGTGAGTGAGCGGGGGGTTTATTGACAGAGAAAAGGCTGTGAAATGTGTGGTTTAAATCTTGGGGTTTTTTATTCTTTTTCACTAGAAAAACTTGCTCAAGCGAAGGAGGAGAACTTGGGGCTGCACCAGACACTGGACCAGACACTAAACGAACTGAACTGTA